CATATGTCCGGCAATTTCAATTACATTTCTTCACTTCAATCAAATCGCATTTCGCTTTGGCCTTTGGCCGCTGACCATCGAAGGCAGCCGAAAAAAATGGATTGTGCAGTACGCGTGTTGCACTTTCAGTGATTCGTAAATTGAATTTACAGTTCAGTCTTAGTCTCAGTCTTCTCACCCACTCCCCCGCACAATTTCATTTGATTTTTATTTTTATTTTATTTAGCCATTTCTTATCGCCCTTTTGGTAGTCGTGACTTTGGCGACAATTGTCCGAAATCGCTCTCGAGTCCTTGGGAGTGCAAGTGTGAGTGTGAGTGACTCCTGTCGGAGTGCCACGAAGGACACTTGAAATTATTGAAATTGTTTTGCCATTTTGCGCTGCCCTTCCGCATTCCCAAATTCCCAATCGAGCGAGTGTCTAAATGCAATTGTCTGTCTGCTTATCATTGCCCTGGAATTTTCTCATTTTGAGTGATTCGAAGAATTTGTGTGGATTTTGGTTATTGATTTCCGAATGCCAAGAAGTCTGTGATGTGCTATGATGCAGCTCGAGGATCTATTGTATCCTTGCTGGGAAAATGGAATGGAGTGTGTGACTTTGAGCTTTTAATTAGTAGTTAATTGATTTGAGAGAGCTTTTGGTCTACAAAAGGGATTATTGCGAGAACTGTGATGGATGTAGTTTATTGTTCTGCGAAATGTAATTATTCCTGTAGAAAATTTAAACTGAAGTCAAAATAGTTAAAACTAACTGCCAAAAACTAAAAATGCTCTTAAAAATTCACAAACATAAAAAAAAAATCATTTCTGAAAATTCAGTTTCAATTATTTATTTTCATCGATTAATCATACAATTTGCCAAGCGAATGCCCATTAAACAATTCAATTTTCGCTTCTACCACCTGACAAATTCACAGATATCGCCATATTGTTGTTGTGGCCGAAATCGCAGACGAAAACACGCATATATTTCGGATTTTTTGTTGTATAATTCCTTTGGCCGGCGGTTAATTAAAAAAGGGGCTTGGCCGCGGGCTTTTTGGGCTGGGAAGCAGACTCCCACGTTGATTTATAGCAGTGGGCTTTAAAGTGTGTATAAATCAAACGAAATAAAATGTGCATATACGTATATAGAGTATTGAATTGGCATAAGTTGACTTTAGCGGCCGGCCAACATGATGTCCTGTCGGCCGAACGGCCAACTCTTTAGCGCCATTAACAAAGGACTTTCCCTGGCCGCAGAGCAGAGCAACCAGTTGGTTCGATTCAGTTCAGTTCCGTTTGCCTTTTCATTTACGTCGTCTTTGTTGACCACTCTTAATCCTTTGGCGGAGCCCCGAGTCTCGAGTCCCGGATAAAAGGAGAAGCGCCCTGCATTCTGCGATAAATTCGCATTAAATGAGGAAAAGAGGGGGAAAATGGGGAAAAGCAGTTAAATACAGACTCACTGGGCTCGGACCATGGCCAACACCAACACAATGCGTCGAGTGCAATTCAGAAATTCTCTGCGCTTGGCACACAAACACAAAGATAGAAAAATCGAAGAATGTCAATAATGGCTGCTGCAGTTTCTGCCCCAGGACCTCGTCCTTTTCCTCTTCCTTACATCCATCCCCCCTTTTCACCCACATTTCGGCTTTAATGACGCCACATCCTGTGACAATAAGCGTCACTTGGCCAGTTTGTTGTCTTCATTTTCGATCGCACAGAAGGCGAGTTGAAAAGTCCCATCATATCGTTACAGTGCTCAAATTGCTCAAGCGATGTGCAAAAGTAAATAGGATTCTGCTGAATTTATTGTTAAATGAAAGATAACTTTGCTAGAGTCCTGAAGCGTTTATTTGTGCTGGCATAAGATAAACAACAGTAGTTTGATGCAATTAACTTTAAATGTTTTTAAAAGATGCAAGAAATTGATTAAGAAAAATTCAAAGAACTTGCTAAAAAATAATAATATTTATAATAAATATTTTTAAATATTTTTCAACGATAATTTAGATGTTATACTTTTTGAACCACTGTTTACCCATTCGTTGGAGGGTTCATTGATAAGACCCGCGCTCTCCGGTGCAATTGACAACTTCAATGTGAACAATATTATTTGCATTTATTTTTGTTCGACTCTTTTATTCTTCGTTATTTTTTTTTTGGCCAAAAGGAGTGGGGCTGCAAGGAGAGCCAGTACATTTCCCAATATTTCGCTGTTCAACCCGTTTGTTTCTGGGCATCTGAGTATCTGAGTGCGGCTCCTTGCTCCGTGTGGCTTCGACAGACTTTGCTGGAGTATCGTATCGGTTTCGCGATTTCGTTGCATTCAAGTTGCGGTTTTGGCGTCTTCTTTGGAGAGGCAACAGCTGCCGCATCTCGTTGCATTTTCCTTCCCCTCCTCCTTTTGCTGCCCAGCTATTGTGGTTTATTTGACTTTTGTTGCACATTACGTAAGTCGGGGTTTCAATGCACTTTGCCTGCGCCAACTACGCGATTCAATGGGTCTTAACTGTGCCACAAACACCCGTGTTCTTGATTTGAGCGACCCGTGGGTACACTTTAAAATTTGATAACAAATTTATAGCTTTTGAAAAGAAATGTTTTAAAATTAATAACATTTTGGATATAAATTAATAAATAATAAAATATTGGGAATAATAATGCTTTCATAACAAAAGATTTTTAGGACGTCCTGAGTTCAATCCCTTCCATCTCTCTGTTAAAATTATATTATTTTTAATTTTTTTTTAAATTCCTTCAAAAATAAATACAAATATTTAAAATTCGGAAAACTTACCAATAAGAAAATAATGTTAATTTGTTATTTTTAATGTTAATATTTTCTAAGTGCACGAAGCTACTGTGCTCTGTGGCTACTGTGGGCGGCGTTCATTGTGGAGCATAGTAAATAAGTGCACCGCTCTGTTTGACACTTGCAGCTGTCAACGCGGCGCGTGATTGATCGAGCGATATTGCTTGCCCCCCGAAACGGGTGTAAAAGCCAGGGTTCCGCGGAGAGAAATGATGTTGTCAGGGCGAGCTAATGGAGGAGTTCCCCATTAACATGCCCATAACAAATGGTCCGATCTGTTGGCTCAATCGCAGTTAGACAGCTTGATTAAACGCAGGTAGGAAAAATGCGTTACGAAGGCAAATGATTTGTTTAATTTTTAAATTTAAAAAAAGGTTAAAAAATTATTTTAAAAAAATGTGTTCCAAGCATTAAGCATTCTTAAATACAATTATTAAACAATTGTCTAGCCAAGATTTCTGTACAAAATCCTAAACCCATTAGTAACTTTGCAAGATAAAGTTCAAACTCTTACCAATTAGTGCAACATCGTAATAATTGAAGTTTGTTTGAAAGACAGCAAAACTTTCATCGGCAACTACAAAAGTTAATGTGGCGTTTGACAGAACTTATCTATCAGCAGAAGTAGATACAGCCATCGATAACAGGCAGCAGATACAAATTGTTAGAATGTAACTAGAAGAAGCTCGCCTCCTTCCACTAATGGCCCCATTTGCCAGGAACAAAGTAAAGAAAGCAAAAATTAATGTAAATTTATTGTCTCAATTTATAATGCAACAAATTGGGCAAAGTGAGCCCCGGCTCAGATACTTTGGCCAAATATTAATGTTGACAGGGGGCGAAAGACCAAGTTGCAAGTAGAAAGTATCTGGCAGATACGCATAATGGCGCGGCATTGAACTTGAACTTATCTGCGATTGGAGTTTTTCAATTGTTTGCCAAAGTCATTGGGCGCAAAGTTGCTGCCATTTTGTCTCTCACAAAGTTATTACAAAGTTTGCCATATAAGTTTTGGCAGCCTTTTAAAGTTTGTCCCCTGGATGTAGATAACTTTCTGGCCCTTGGAAGCTGCATCGGCTCTCGTTCTCATCTCAGTTTCGACTTCTCGACTCCTCGACCAGCAAATTGAGTGCACACAGCCGGCAGACGTTTGTCATTTGTCTGCCGTCATGTCAGTTGTCAAGTTTGATTTTTCGACATTTGCCTCTCAGTTCTATTTAACTATATGTACGCTTTTTGTGTCTTTTTTAAATTGCTGCGGCCACTGTGATAAAGTGGAGAAAAAATATGAAATATCGTGCTCTGCAATATACAAAAGACAAATTCGTGAAGCTCTTCGGAAGCATGTTGACAATATTCTGTACAGCATTTTCGGTTATCCGGGCATCTCGGCAAAGTGGTTAGTTGTGTAGATTTTTTTAGTCTGGGAAAATGTTGTAGTTCTTTTTGGGTCAACAGATTGACATGTTTTTTCTATGTAACAAATTTCTGGATTTATTTAAGATTTATTTGGTTAATCCTTTTAGTTGTAATAAATCAATTTTAATTCTCATGTAATAAGATCATTTAAAAAATTATTCAAAAATATAAAATTTGTCTTCTAGGTTTTTTTATTTCCTAAGTTATGGAAGTTAAAGAATATTGAACTCTATAATCCATAAACGGTAACGGTGTAAAATCATTTAAGTTCTCGAAAACCAGAACGGATTCCTCTTTATTCATTTTAAGACTACCCCAACCTTTTCTTTAATCCCCGCCCAGAGTATCTCGAAGTCGTGCGACCTGTCATCTTATGTTCTCCTGGTGTTGACAAATGGTAAAGGGTGCTGAAGAGGGGCAGTTGATGTCTGAACACTTTATCTTAATGTCAATTTTTTGTTTCGTTCGGGCTTTGGTTTGATTCGAAGGGTTTTTCTGGCCCAGTCGTGTGCGTGAAGCAGTTAAGACTGCCCGGGCAAATTAGCCATAAAAAACGCATTTGTATATCGGTGTTGGGGCGCCTCATTTGGAAGTCATGTCAAAATCACGACATCGAAGGCGCCCGGCGATAAAAACGGCTCGGGGATTTACATTTATATTAGACTGGCTCAAAGAGCTCCGACAATGAATCATCAGCGTACTTAAATAGCTTTAAGTGTTGGCATTTTCCGAGCTTTGATTTCATTTGCATCCCGCTTTTCCTTGATTTCCCGGCTAGTTCGACAACGTCAACTCGTGTCTGCATGTGCTGCGCAGTCAGTCGGTCGGCGGCTTGGAGAACATCACCACCAATGACATCTGTGCCGGTCGCCTGAAAGCCGTCCTCGCCCTCTTCTTCGCCCTGAGTCGCTTCAAACAGCAGGCCAAACAGACCAAATCCATTGGCGTTGGCTGCAGCGCGGGAGTGGGCTCCTCATCGAGGGAGGATAAGAATCATCAGGATCAGCAGCAGCAGCAAACGCCCCAACAATTGGCCCAGTCTCTGGAAAACGGCAATGAGATGGTGAACCGGTAAGTCAATTTCGAAAATATTTTTGAAAAAATTTCAGCTTTAAGAAATTAATTTGATTGGGTGCAGCCTTACAAAAGTAAGCGAGTCTTCAGAATAGTTGTGCCAAGAACCCCAATAAATTCCATTGGTCGTGGTTGAAAGACCCTGTGCGTAGTATTTTCCATTAAGGAAGCTATAATATCATTTAGTAGTAGTATGTAGTACATTACCATATGAAAAATGTTTACCTTTCAACACAGTTTTCGAACCACCAGCCCCCGAATTGAATACTAGCGCAGTTAAAACAAGGGTTATTATCATTATCCCTGTCGAACTTGGTGAACTTTTGGTGCTCATGAACTGGAAGCAAGTCTCCGGCTGTACCAGAATACATATGTTCCTAGCGATTTTAGCTGATATTTCTCTTTCTCGCTTTCGATTCGAAAACGACTAAAATGAGCGTAGCTAGAGGATCCATCTACCATTTCAAGTTTAATATAAAGTTCTTGGGGTATTTGCCAAGAAAAATTCCCAATTTTTATCTCCGAATTTATTTTCATATTTCTGCCAGGATCGATCGAAGTTTTCGGAACCGTCTGAACGTCTCTAAATTGTCTTCCAACAAATTTCAGCCAGTTTTTCAATTCTGCCAATATAGGCAGAATTCGCTGAAGATAAGAACATTTTATCAAAAATGTAATGTTTTGGACTATCAGCAATTCAAAAAATGTAAAGAAAAAACCTTTTTTGAATTGATTGGCGCAAAGAAATGTCCGAAAAGTTGGGATTTTCTTTTCCGGTAACTATAAGATTAAAGCACAACATCTGAGCGTCATTATACATGTGAAAATATTATTCCTGTTATTCGTAGAGTAAAAGGGTTTATTGTATTTGTTGGAATAACCGCTTGCTCAGTAATGGGTATCTGATGGTCGACAACAATAATTCGAATTGATCTATTTAATTTGTGAACAGCGCCCCCTTTGGTTTCTTTTTTTCAGTACACCCACAATAGATGGCGCTTTTAAAAACTGTTCCCACTACCCTTATATTTTACTTATATTTTATTTAAGTTTTACATTTTACATATATTATTTCTAAAGTTACCATATTTTACAAATTTCCAAGTTGGAGAATGTGTAGATGTCAAAAAATTGTAGAATACAATATACTTCACCTTACGTACTTTACGCCCTCTATCGGCAGTGACCGCTTTTGGTAGCCATCTTGTGTTTTACGACTGTAAGTACTTAGGGTAACCATAGGTGTCGCCTTTGATGGATAAGTCTTGTGACAAGGATATTAAACAGTAGAACCTCGATTATTTTGACTTTAGATTCTGAAACTAAGTTGCCTTTTGTATATTATAATGTGTTAAAAATTTCTGGTAAGTATTAATTTCTAACAAATAGGCCAATAAAGGGTTTGCGTTACACTGTTCTTTTTAAAGACACAATAAGTTATAGACTTAGAAACCTTTTTTTAAATAAAGGAACAAAATGTATATTTGGGATAATTCCTTAGTTTTTAGCATACCATATTAATTTAAGGGTCCTCTTTTCCAACTGACCCGAATTTAAATGAATTACAACTTTTAAGTTGCAAATAATTCGGCCAGCCTTTTTCAAAATGTAATCTACACCGCTGTCGTAACTCAATTTCTTATTTTGCCGAAACGCCCCTTCGATTCCGAAATCCTCCCCGTTAAGCCGCCCAAAAAATTGCATATCCAATGTCAGAGATTTCCTTTGAGTTTCGCTTAGACCGTCATAAGACATCCGGCACGCATTGCTTTCTGCGCTTTCCTAGAATTCCTAGCCAGTTTAATATGATTTATTGGTTTGTTTGCCGGAAATTACAGGCAGTTGGGTCCTGGTTTTGGCTTCTTTTTTTTAGGGCTTTCCGCCTCACACCTCGACCAACAGATGTCATCAGGAAAATGGCAGGGAAAACTCCAGAAAGGCAAACAAAATTGGCGTGCTACAAGTTTAAAGAGAGGAAAATCTCAGCCAGGGGGAAGAACCCCGCAAAGTGCTCTCTGAAAAATTCAAAGCAAGAAGATGGCAAAATTAGAAAACTTTATTTGCCCAATGTCTGTGGGGAGGTCTTCGGTTTTGACTCCAGTTTCGGGGGTTTCCTTTAGAGCTCCGTGTTTGCAACCCCCGGGGAAATCCTTGGAGTTGCAGACAGGAAGCGGAAGCTTTTGTGTGGCGCCCCTGCCCCCATTTCCCCCCCTTTTTCCATCGAATTGGTCGTTTAACTCGGGGACCCGGCTGAATGTGTTGATGACTTTCACTGACTATGAAATTTAAATGCGTTACGGAAATGTTTTGCGTTCGCTTTTGGCCGAGCAGACAAATAAATTACAAAGGATTTTTATGGTCGTCCTTGCGCCTAGTTTGTGGTAGGCGACGAGTCGCAATCAGGAGGGTGCAGCGGTTCATTTAAAGTTGCGCCATAAAACTTTCACTTGCCGTCGACCCTCCGGAGCGTTGTTTATAATGTCTGCGGTCTGGCGACCTAGACCCACCTCCAAGGGGGGTTTCGGGGGTTCCCCGCCAGCCACCCGGAACGGTGACAAAATAGCAACCCCAAAAATTGTACACCTAAATAAACACTTGAGAAAGTCAAGAATTTTTTAAAAATATTCTTAAATTGAGACTGCAATTTTATTGAGAGAAGCTTTAAAATTAGCACTAACTCTTCAATTAACTTTAAGTCTTAAAAGAAATATTTGATGATTGCAATTATAATTAAAAAAAATATTACTTCAAGGTTTAATTAAAATCGATTCAAGGCATAAAAACAATTTGTACACAAATTTTTATTAAGGACATGAGTATTTTATTTATTTAAATTATTTTTTTCCGTGTACCATTAGCGACATTCGTTGCCAGGAATTTTTCCAATGCAAAATTCAAAAGCATTTTAACAACGGCAGCTGCCACTGAATTTTGTTTTTAGCCGAGGCTGGGGGTTTGGTTTGCTTTTGCTTTTGGGGAATTCCAATTTCATGGCACTTCACAAGTTTTTCTATTTTTTAAAGCACTGACTGTGATTTGTTTGGGGACAACCTGCTGGCAGGAGCAACACGTTGCACTGACGCACATAATTAAAACAGGAAGACACATTGCCAAGCAGCACTTGAATTTATATCCGGAATCTCGTTAAATTTACTCAAGACTTCAGCAACAGCTGATGACGATCCGAAACCCCGAAGTGCACAACTCCCACCATTTATAACTGCAAATTGCTTTGGCAGACATGCCAGCAATATGTATTGTATTTATAGCAGTTGTAAGCGAGCTTTCCTTCTGGAATTGGCTCCAAAGTAACCCCTGAAGACGAGGGCGGGGCGAGGTCCTTTAAGGGGGAGTAAATTCCCATAGAGGCTGGAGAATGGCTCCCGAATCCACCCTCTAAATGGGATAAATTCGCCCACGTGCGTGTGTTCCTGTGTTCCTCTAATTCGCATGCATTTATGCGTGACCATGAACAAGGAAAGGACCAATCCCCCAGGATCCCTGGATTTCAGGATGTCCTTCCTCCTGCTCCAACCAAAGTGCACTCATCCTGGCTGTGACCACTCTTCACTGGCAAATTGTCAAGTCCCCTTGTCCTTCGGTCCTTCTATCCTTGTTGTCCTCAGCCTCGTCTGGCTTAACTTTTGTTGTCCTGCGGGCTTGGTTTTTTCCACATGGTCTGCTCCTCTGTGCTGAATTTATAATTCCATTTGTGGTTTTAATTTCGTAAATGTGAGATTAATTTTATTCAATTTGTGTGCCCAGAGCCGAACGGGTGAGCCGAAGTTGGGGTTACGCTTCATTGACTGTCAATTGTTGGCAATTGAAGCAGTGAGAAAATGCAGAGTGAGGAGTTAGAAAGGAAAATTGGCCAAAGGAATAAAGTCATTGAAAGGTGGGGGAACAGAATTTTCAACTCGGTGATTTATTATTTTACAAATATGTTTTACATTACAAAAACAAGATATAATAAAGCAGCTTAAAAATACTTTTTATCAAGATTTTCCCTTCCCAAATTCTCCGTATCATCCATCATATCCTCCAAGAACCTTTCCTCCTGGGGATCCAATCTCGATATGATCTCTCGCGTGGCCCTAAACTGCCCACAATTATACAAATGCTCATTCTCTAGGCGCAGAAAATTCCATATAAAACGTCTCACTATCTCGCTAAAACAAATAATCGATTTGCCATTAAAGGGAGTTATTACTTCCTGATAGACCAATACAAACTCCAAAACCCAAACAAAACGCAGCAGAGTATTTTCCACAATCACAAAGTAGTAGAACCACTATAAAAAATTATTCGTTAAAAAATATTTATTACGTTGTAAGCTTTTACCTTTGGATAGACTAGATTGTCGCGCAGAAAGAGGTTCTCACCCTTCCACACTCTTAACAAACCAAAGTCCATCAGTAAATCCCAAAGCAGCGAATATATGGCCGAAATAATGCATATGGTTATATAGGCCCAAGTCCAGGGATTCTCAAAAAGATTATTGTATTTGCCTAAAATAAAATGTATTAAAATTTGAGGTAAACTGAATACACTTTTAAAACACTCACCATTCGTTTCCATTTGGATGGTCGAAAATACCACCTCCGCTACGGTTAGGAAGTACTTCAATGCATTGATCAGATAGTCCGTGGACTTGGATCCACTGTCCCTAAATCGCCGAAAACTCTGGCAAAATCGAAACCAAGCCGGCAGACATCGAATGACGGGCACCGCATAGTCGGGTTCAAACTCAAAGGAATCGCTGCGACCCAGAAAATATCGCACATAGAACCGCATGAGATAATAGTGATCCACGATTCCGATGACCAACGAGGTCCACTGCTCCGCCACCCAAAAGTCCACGAAATTCACAAAGAAAAAGGGGGCCAAAATGATGCGACCCACAATGGTCATTAGCCAAATTCTGGCCGAGTAGTACACAATGTGTATGGGGTTGAGGAACAGTACAACCACAATTGCGCCCTGAACGAGTGGTATATAATAGGGTTCACTTATAAAGAACTCTTTATGGAGCAAGTACAGCAAAATGCTCAGCGTGCAAAGGTAACCAAAGAAACTGACTATTTCCAGGGCTCGCATGGCACCCACAGCATCCCTTCGCTCCACCTCGAAGATCAAAACGTGGTCAATGCCCTTCTTCTCGTAAACTTTTATATTGATAGCCAGACTGAAGCCAAAGAATATGCCCGAAATGGGTCCTCTGAACAGGCTGAGAAACCTAAACCTGAACTCTGGGCTCAAGTCTAGGCAAAAATCTGAAAAAAAATAAACTTTAAGAAAAGTATTTCCTACTACAATAAATATCACCCACATGAAATCACACAAATTATAGCAGCCACCGAAAACAGACCCAAAAATAAGCCGGCACAAAAAACATGAAGCGGCGGTGTTGGTTGGCCCAAAGGCGGCACTCGCAACTTGGCCATTGCCTTCGACCGATCTCCATTGGCCAGGTGCTCCGTGTACAGATCCTCCGTGGTCACTATCATCCGTTCCAACTGCGTGGTCAATGCAAAGCTCGCCCTCAGAATAAATCGTTCGTACCAAACCGAGCCAGCCTCTGACTTTAGGTGCTTATCGTACTTTTTCAAGATTTTTCGAAAGGCTGTTATATTCAGCATTTGGTAATTCTGCAGCATAATAAGGCTAAAGAGTAATATGTTAGTTAAAAGAAATATTTGTAAGTTGAGTGATTCAGTGATTCTTGAAGTTTTATACTTCTTAAGGTTCTGAAGAATTCGCGTTTAATAACTTTTAAAGTTTTTAGCTTTAAATTGAGTGGTTCAACGGCTATTAAAGTTTTGAACTACTTTTTGGTTCTGAAGAACTCGCGTTTTATGAATTTTTTTATGTAATGAAGTTTGCGAAAATGTATTATATGAGATACAATTACCTTAGATAAAACTCACTCATGGCCAGTCGGAGTTTGCTAACGGGCTGCGTCTTCCGGTTATCTAAATGGCTCCTTGAAGTAGTGGATGCCCTGGAAGTCGAGGATCCTCGTGGATCCTGTTGGCTGCGATGCCGGGCCGTAAGTGTTAGCTGGTATTTGAGAGTAGCCAATTTGCGATGCGCTTCCGCTTGTTTGTAGGCAAAAAAGTCATTCACCTTGGTTAACTCCTCTTTGCAGGTGTTGAAGAAGAGTATCTCGAAATCCCTGTAGTAAGCGTTATTCCCCTGGCTTCTACTTTTTGGAGCTTTCTCCACGGCATTCAGTATCAAGCTCTTCAGCTCCTGGGAAAAAAATAAGAATGTTAATGTGTGGGGATTGGGAAAAATAACCTGAGTTACATTGTAGTTCATATACTGGTAACGCCACTCGGGCACCATAAGCCTGTCTAGAGTTTTTCCAAACTTCATTTTTACAAGGTTTTAGTTTCGATTTTATGAGAGCTCAGATTTTTTGACAAATAAGACTAGGTTTATTACGATCTCTATAATACTATATCCTAGGAAAACTTACCCTCTTTGACCACTTTCTATTGGCCTTAAGCATTATTATTAGTTTGCTCAACTGAATTATCTTTAGCCTAACCATAATTTGGCTCAAAACGCAACCGCCCTTGAAATCTCTAATTGTAGATATTTTCATCCCTTTTATGGTGCAGAAATTCTCTTTCCTTCAACGTGAAAAATTTTCCTTTGTCCGCGGACAACCCACGCAAATTTTGACATGCGTTTCCCTTTCCTTTCCTTTAAAAGTTGACAACTTCGCTTTTGTTTTTGAGGACGATGTCCGCAGAATCATCAACTCATCCTGCATGAAATCGTTTGGCTTTTCATGTTGAGGCAAACCTAAATATATACCCCGTATTTTTCGAGTTTTCCGCCTGTTTTGAAGTGACTGCGTTTGGGTTTATTATTAAAAATAAAGGAAAAGTCCTGGTAAAACGGGGTGGCTAAGGGTAGGCTTTTGGCTTTATGGCAACTCTTTAAGTTCAACGACGCTTCAATCGAGTCCCACAATTCGATTTCAGTTGCTAGCCATTAGTCATAAGAAAGGAATATTGGGAAAGCGGGAAAATGTCGTCTACAGGCATCGGCATCCCATGATGAGCAAGTGGGTGGCCGAAAAGGACTCCCATCTCACCTCAGTCGTCATCATCAAAGCCGGCATTCATCTTCCCCTCTGCGTCGCTCTGTGAAAAATGTGAAACAATTGCAACGATGATTACTTTTTCCAACAGTTTTCCCCTCTGTTGCTGTTGTTGTTGTCTGGTCGTAAAGGAAAATTGAATTGCCCGTGGGCGGAGCATGAAGTTTGTCCTGCCCTCAAGGGACCTTTTCCCGGGTGGGGTATTGGGTGGAAAAATAAGAGACGGACGGACCGAGATGAAAACAGGTGAACTCCATAATTATATGCTAAATACTCGGGTAATTAACTCCCCCGGGAACATTAACTATTTGAAGTACTTGATTATGCTGATGACTAAGGCTTGCGAATTTCCCCGAAAGATAAAAGAGAAAAACTAAGCCAGTGGAAAGTGGCGGCCTGTGCAAAATATAAAACTTAGATAACGGTTATCCTTCAGAAAGGAGATAATTAGCAGCTGTCAGCAGTTTTTGGTTTATTTCTAATTCTTCATTAGTTCTAATTTTAATCATTAAACCTATAATGGAAAATTCGTACAATTTATACAGCTTATGTTTAGCTTTTATCATAATATATTTTAATAAATGATTATTATTCATGCTAAATAATTTTGAAATATAAAATATATATTTATTTTACTGTTTTATATATTGTAGCTTTATAGCTGAAAGTCGAATAGTTTTTTTTGCAATTTAATAAGTCACATTTTTTGCATTCAGTTTTTCTCATTGTCAGCGGATATGTAAAGAATTTCCAACAGATTTTTTTTGTGGCTTGTCCTAGCTGGACAACCATAACCAGAAGGCAAATAAAAATATTTGCATAGACGAACCGTTGAACAATTGGATAGACGGGCAAGTGAACAATGTGGGGGGTGGTATCAGGCGGCGGATTCCGGGGACAGACTATATAAAATGAAAAGTAAACATTGCAGTGTCCGCCGTTTGCCATTGAAATGATAAAGTGCCCGGCTGAGCTCCTCGCCGCCCGGAAAGTTCCCCGGAGAACGACAAAAGGCAATAAAATGCATGCTTAGTGTTTTTGGAGCAGGGGCTTAATGGCATTAGAAGGGGGGCTTTGTGGAGCAGTCAGACTGGAGCTACATCTGGTTATATCCGTATGTTGTGTGCGGCAACTCAGGCGAAAGGCTTTCATGCTTTTTGGATTTGTCCAAACAAAGATTTATTGGGTCTAGTTTTAGTTTTGTTTTCAGAGTGGCAGAGGGTATACATGTTGTTTTTTAAAACTGATTGTGTTTCTAACAACTTCAAGGGAGAAAGTTGTACAGGAGTTTAAGAAACTAAAGTTGAATAAGAACTTATTTTCAGTTTTGATGAAATTCTTATTAAAATTTAGATTTTAGTTAAGAATTAAATTCCTCTAATTTTACTCTATTAACATTTACTTACTAAATCACTCAAAAAATTTAAACCTCAATCTAATCGTGACAATTACGTGAACTCGAATGGCTTTCCAAGATAATATCTACACAATAAATTCAATTTGAAATCAGTTTGAGCCAGGGACCGTAAATAATCATTATTTGAGATTTTTATTTTAAAAAGACTACTGTGATATTTTGTTTTAAACGTCAAAAATTATGTTCTTTTTACTCTTGTCCACAAAGTATATGCATTTCAACAAATCTGGAAAGCAAATTAACTGTTATTTGTTCATGTCTATAAGTGCATAAAAACCAGTTAAATTGTTGATTAAAATATGTAAAAACCTCAGTATGCCTTTTAAAATAAAAATCTCAAATAATGATTATTTACGGTCCCTGGTTTGAGCTCCAATCTAGTCAGTTCAAGACTTTGCACCTTTTTTATTCAGCTGTCTGCAACAACTTAATCGCATTCAGCCACTTTCTTTGCCGCCCACTTCTCGCGAGCACACTAAAACCCAACTTCAATTATAGTGGCAAACTCCACCGCACACTTTCAATCTGAAACTCGTTTGGCCGTTCAATCATTGCGATTTCGGGCTACAACGCACATGCCAAGTAATTGCAATCATATTTCGACACGCTGCCCAGCTTGCAGTGGCCTTAAACTTCAGGCCGTTAAAAAGAAAATAATAAAGAAAAAAGTGTCAATGTTAGTTATCAAAAACAAGCCGATGATGAAATACTCTCGATAAAAGATTATTTTTTTTTCAATATGCTATTAAAACATACAAACAAAAAACTATTACGAATAATTGTAAAAAAATAAAATAATTATTTTTAATATTCCTAAAATGTTTGAGATGCTTTTATCAATATTTTTAGGTAGTTTGCTAAACAACTATTTCAAAATACATGAATTTATTGAAAAACTTAACCCAAAATTGTATGTATTTTGTATGAATATCTACCAATCTATCAAAAAATATCTGAAAGTGTAAGCCATTCCCATTTCCTTTTTTATTAGGGTAAAACTAAAAACACAACAACCGGCGTCGTAAACTAGATCTAACAAGTTGAGTGTGCGCCTGATCGGCTTAGAGTCAAACGAGTTTCCCGATTGAAATTAAGCTCAATGATTAAACAATTTTACTTTCTGCCAGTCCAGTCCCCTCTGCCTCCACCATCCTCCTGCGACGGTTTATGTGACACGAAACTATTTGCTATAATTGCTTACTTTGTTAAATTGCGGCGATTTGTTTGCTGGCCAACAATAACTTGGAGCAGCTTAATTGGTCTCGTTCGCCATTCGGTTGACCCCCAGCAGCTGGGGCATGTGCATTGAACTTCGGCGGGGACCCCTCCGTCCACATCCTCCTCCTCAGAAGTGCAAGTGCCAAGTATTTTTAGACCAGCCGAATGCAGCAAACCAACAAGCAAACAAGACAAACGTATCCAGTGATTCAGTGCACCTCGAGAAACGAGACTTGGGATCAATTGAAACTCATAAAATTAGAGTTCGCTTAAAATAATAAAATTATTTATTGATTTTTTCTTAACTTATTTCCATTTTTCATATTTAGAAGATAAACTTGAAAGCAAAAGCAAATTAAAATTTTTTATTTCTATGTTAATTTTTTCTCCAATTTGTATTACATACCTTTGTCCCCAAATCATGTGCAATTTCTTAGGATACACACATTTTTTTAAAGTGTAACATCGAACATGTTGCGGTGTAAAATTGTAAGTTACCGGCTCTTTGGCTCGCTCTTTTCTCTCTCAAACAAACTCTCTTACACATCCTTTTATTTTGTTCCTGTTGCTTAACGAAAAGATAATCTAAATAAATATATTATTTGTAAATATCAAAAAATTTATAAACTAAAATAAAAATGTTTTGAAGAAAAAATTCAAAAAATTGTATCCCTTTTCTTGAGGCGGAATTTTAAACACAGCCTTTAATAACAAAAATTGATAATTCAAGAAAAAAATTAAAATTTTAATAGAACAAATATTAAAAAACAATGATCCTTAAATATTGTTTTATTGGTTATTTACTTGTGGTGACATTAAAAGTCCAAATATTGTGAGGGTGGTTGTCTCTGTACATGGGACAAAATGTTGTGTTTCTGTCGAAGAGAATTCAAAGAGCACGAGGTTGGTTCGTGTTTTCCACCCGAATGGAAAGAAAATCCCCGGCAAAAGCGAGTTTTTGAAGCTACCATAAACAGTTCACTTCGGTCGCTTGAATTTGTTGCGTCGACGGACGCGGAAGATTTTCGTGTGGCTTTTTCGGATTGTTTTGTTTTGTTTCGCCGGTTTTCAGCGACGCGTGCCACTCGCATAAATAAATGGCGGCAAATCGAGGAGTGTGTGAATAAAATTTATTAACGACAAGCATCGTTCAACAGTGCCAAAATAAAGTTAATGTGCAAAGTGATAGATTTTCGGGAAATTTACTTGGGAATTTTAAAACATTTTTATACAAAGTTTGTTTTCAACCGGCTGTTGCATACTTTATGGCTTTTAAACCACCGTCAGCATTATCCTCAGACTCCTTAGCCAGGCTCCATAATTATCGCCTTATCGCACTGCACACAAATTAAAAGGCTTACGGCAGACAAACCAAACAGAACCCAAAAAATTGCCAGACCAGACGATTTTGTCTCCACGGACCGGCGGTCAGGATGTTTTATATATCCTAGATAAGAGTCGTGCGTTATTTAAAACCTGGAAGAGTGGTTTTTGTGTCTTTGGTCCTTTGGGGACAAAAAGTTTGGAGAACAAAAAAGCGCTTTAATTACATTAATGAGACTGCGCTTAACTTTGACTAACTAAGGAGAATGTTATGTGAAATTCGATAGTATTGCATTCCCTTTAAAA